CTATACCGCTATACCGCTATACCACTATACCACTATACCACTATACCACTATGCCGCTATACTGCTATACCGCTATACCGCTATACCACTATACCACTATACCGCTATACCACTATACCACTATACCGCTATACCACTATACCACTATACCGCTATACCACTATACCACTATACCACTATACCGCTATACCACTATACCGCTATACCACTATACCGCTATACCGCTATACCACTATACCGCTATACCGCTGTACCACTATACCGCTATACCGCTATACCACTATACCACTATACCACTATACCACTATACCGCTATACCCCTATACCACTATACTACTATACCGCTATAAGAATATATCTGGGTCCGTTTCTATGATTGAATTCTTAAATCATATATTTCGCTTGTCCATAGCATCTATATGTTCGCTGAATTCGGATAGGAAGATGTGGATTAATTCGAATTTGCCGCAAAATGAAATTCCCCATTAACTCGCCAAAGAACTCTACAGTCACTTTAATCGAATACAAATAAAACTCAGCAAGGGTAAGGGTGTAAGATATTTCTTTCTTTAACAGGTGTTAATAGACGTTTAAATAAAATTTCACATGATCGAAATTCTACAAGTTATGTGATGTTATTCGAATATTTATCGAATGATTATATTCGGTGATTATCTAAACGAATAGTTGATTACTTTTGTTTAGAAATTTTACTTTAAATTTATCACAAAAATTTGTTACTTTAGTGCGATTATTTTAAACTTGAATAAATGAGAAGTAATTAAAAACTGAACATAATTCATTTTATTATATGTTTATATGATATACTTTTTCTTCCTTTTATCTTTCGATGTTTGAATTCTTCATTCAGAAAAACAAAATGATATGCTTCGTTCGGGAATCGAACCCAAGACACGATAGCTGGTTAACCGGACCAGTGCTCTTACCATTGAGCTAACGAAACACGACTAACACATCAGTTTTGTTTTTCTGAATGAAAAATTCAAACATCGAAAGATAAAAGGAAGAAAAAGTACATCATATAAACATGTAAAACTCCTTTCTAATATCTAGTAATCATATTCACCCTCGAAAGAGGAGAATTAAAAACATCATTTACATTTGGTTAAAAATAGTAGTCACTATATCCAAGTACGTCGTACACAGTGTGTCGACGTTAAAAATTTCGATGTTTGAATTTTCATTCAGAAAAACAAAAATGATGTGTTAGTCGTGTTTCGTTAGCTCAATGGTAAGAGCACTGGTCCGGTTAACCAGCTATCGTGTCTTGGGTTCGATTCCCGAACGAAGCATATCATTTTGTTTTTCTGAATGAAAAATTCAAACATCGAAAGATAAAAGGAAGAAAAAGTATATCATATAAACATGTAAAACTCCTTTCTAATATCTAGTAATGATTTTATTATATTTATAATAGAGTACAGCAAATCGTTGAAAGTACTCTAAGTATAAATATGTTTGCCGGATTATTAGTTACAAATTAATTGAAAAAAAAAACAATAATATGATTTCACTAATATTAAAGAAAGTTGTTTTTATTCATGTCGTTAAAAACAAAATATAATCAGTTCTTATCGATATTGGTGTAAATAAAAAAAACAAACTTCATTCCAATATGTCTATCAAATTGCATTTACACATATCTTTACTATGTTTATCAATTTAGAATATTTTAATCTTTATCCATCTTCATTATGGTTTCATCGATTATTATTTGATATGTCGCCTTCACTTTGTTGTTTCTTCAATTCTGTTAGAATATATGCCTGTATCGATTATTTCACTGATTCTCTTTATTTTTTTGATGAATGTTTCAATCAACTTTTTATATTTCATGTTGATATTTATCCAATTAAGGCTACTAATGTAACAGTGAATAATGAGGTAGACGATTATTTTCAATTAATATAAAATTAATAGATATAAATTGATTTTTATTCTCTGTTCTATGCGTTTTACCTACATATTTTAATGATGATTTATTCGAACTACTTCTACATGGAATTTTGAATTTAGAAAAACTTCATTTACATCGTAAAAGGTTAATCGTTATAAAGGATTTATTGATGAACATGATTTAAAGGAGAATATTTTAAATCATAGTCCTAATCAAAATAATATTGCTTCAAATGAACATACTCAACATGCATTCAAAGGTTTTATGGATAATCAAATTATTTCTTATGTTGATTATTTTCAAGAGAGTCATGAGGGTTATTGTCATATTTACTCATATCCATAAACATTGAAAAATTATGATAATATCTCAAATAGTTTGCCAGGTGGATTATTCAAAACATTTATAAAAGAATTAACTGTAATTAATAAAAAACCGAAGAAAAACAACTCAGAAAACGATAATGAAGATTTATTAATTATTAAATATCCTCATCACCTTACTAAACTCTTTCTTATTAAAGCTCATAATGATTATATCGAATTATTTTTCGTTGGTACTGAACTATATTAGTCAAATAATCTGTGTCTTGATGCCAACTATGAATTTTTGAAACTGGTAACACATAGTTTTTTAAGAGATGCAACACAGATTAATTCTGCTAAGATTGATTATGTTTGCTATCATAACGTTCTTCCATTTTCAAAAAAAATTCAAAGACTATTTTCTACATGTAGATATACTTCGACTACGTTGATTTTCAACTATTATTTAAATAAACAAGAGCACAGAGGCAGTTGCAACTTGCTTTACATAGGAATAAAACATTACAAAATAGAAAAGAAAAAAGGTAACAATCTGCATATGGATATTAAAATGTTATATTAGATATTCATTGATTCATAGAAGCCTGAGTCTCAAATTTTCAACTAAAGTGGTTCAATTCATCGTGAAGTTAATGTACGTATCTGACAGGAGAATTAGATTTTATTGCTCAATAGAATTTTTGATCGAAGAATAATTTTCCACGAAACAATGACCCAAGATAGTTACGATGTTAAGATTTTGAATGATGAATTGCTCTAATAATTTTTTTTATAAATATCATGAATAATAAAGCCTGAATACTAAGTAAGGCGAGAAAAACAAAAACAAGTGTAAAAGTATTTGTACATATCTAACATTTATTGATAATTATATATGTGAGAATATGGTTTGTATGTGCTAAAAATTTAAAACACGACTTTGAATCTCGTCATCATTTTCTCTAGGTCGCATTTTATTTCTGTATGAAAATATCATAAAAATCAGTTATTCTTTGCATAAATTAATAAAACTGCTATTTAGACACGAAATTCAGAAATATAATTTTCTCAGTAGTATTTTAATTGAATATTTATTTAAGATAATTGTCAAATGAAACAGCAACCACTATATATTTCTGCAAGAATTTGTTTTGGGTGTGGGTGTGTAGGTGGATGTGAATATGGGTGAGTGTGGACGTCCGTGTGTGAAGCGCAGACCAGACCCCCAAGCCCCCCACATCCCACACTCATTCTCCAAAATTTCAGTTAAAGCGACCCGTTCTAAGTGGTAAATTGATTTTGAAGAGGAACCCCTTAAGATGGAATACAAACCTTTAGTTTCACGGGAGAACTTGCTAATTGTGGTGTGGAATGACCTTCTCTTCAATTATCGAACATCGCCGTCTACGACGTTGCAGGATTGAATGCACAGCTTTTTGATACAAACATCTAAATGAAACATTTTTCTATCGTATGATGATAATGGCAGAAAAGTTAAGATCTTGATCGTTTCTTTATTGAAATTAATGGTAATAAGTATTTCAAAAGAAAAAATGAAGCATTCTTCATTCGAGCACAACAACTTCATTAACATGCAATGGTGTCACATTTGAAAGTCGTGAGTACGTAAGCAGCAATGCCTTCTAATTTATAACCATTTGAACCAATCAATCCCGGGATGATAATGCCAATTTCACATGGGTTGACCGTGTAAAAATGATCATGGTTCAGGTACCGGTAGAGAGGGCATGTACCAGGCTGTTTTGTTGAATAGACATATCCAATTATTCCTTCCATCAGCCAGCCATTAGCAACTGCACCAACAGCATCAGTACCAATTTCAGCCCAATTAGTTGTGTAGAAATGAGAATATAGACCAGCAGCATATCGATATAAGGGTATTGTGTTAGGCTCTGGGGTCGCAAATATATTACAGGCGACACCTTCGAAAACATATCCATGTTTACCAACAGCCCCAGGCGTGATTGTTCCAATTTCATCCGCACTTGTTGTATAAAAATGAGTGCTACCACCAACATATCTATACAACGGGATCACATTTTCTACAAGAACAATGTATTTATGATTATATATCATAGCGAAAGAAACAGTAGCTCATCTGATGTCTACATTATTTGCTCAGATTTTGATTATGTTTGAGTAAATTAGTGAAGAGAGAAATCTCATTTCACTGTGATAGACATTTTGACATGCTGATCTTTCGGGCACGTTAAAAATCGCGACAGATAAATAGAATCGACGAAGCTTCCTATAGTCTCATTGACCTTGAAAGACATGCCGAGTAAACAAAGCTTTCTAGGATCACAGGTCTTGACAGATATGTCTATATTTTACGTTCTCTGGCTGTTAAGGATACTATGATCAGCATGAGCATTTCCTCTTAATGTATGAAACGAATTCATTGTTTTTCATATTTTAATCTCATAAGAATTATAGTAAAAGCTTTTTGAAAGGTTTACAGTGAAAAAAAAACTCCTTCGAGACGAAAGAAGTATATGTCACAATTGATATGAAAATTGAGTTGAGTTTGGAATGCGTAAAAAAATTAAAAAAATTCTCTTCGAAAAAGAAATTATAACTGATTGTGACAAGACTTCCCAAAATAAAATCACATTGAACACCTTACATAAAAACTTTTAATCTTTTTCTCTACGCCTTCTTGGTTTTAAAGTATTATCAAAAATATCTGGTCCAAAACTGAACAAGAATGATATATTGCATCATACATCATCGATTTTAGTATTGAAACAACAGATTGAACTCCCGATTTCATTAGTGCTTATTACCATTTCATTACGCTCTAATAGTATAATTATATCATACACATATGGTGTTATTCACATTTCCTTTTAAAATAGTCTACTAGACAGAGCCCTGTTCATTTTAATAAATACTTCTCAATGTCCCGATATTCCCATGATAAAAGAAAAACTATTGTCGAAATATATATTTTATTTAACAATATGAAATATAGTCAATACATCGTTGTTTATGTATACAGTAGCAATCTAAACATCTCTTTTATCAAATACAGTTGAAGATAGGATTAAATCATATTATTAGTTAATAAGTGAGGTTTTTTTGTACAAACATTCACGATATTTTTCAGTGAAAAATTACGAAACACTATTTCGGGCTCAACTCAATTCTACACTTACTTGATATATTTTCTTCTTTATGCGATTGAACGCCAAGTTGACATGACGCTAGAACAACGATGAATATTGAATAGACTAACATTTTTGTCATTAAGAAACGAAGCTTTGACGTATTTATAAGCTCGATTAAATACAAAATCTGTTGGTTCTTCGCTTCACGATTCGATAATTGTTTGCAAAATGTGTATGTTGTCTTCTGCTAAAAAAATCAATATAATTGAATGCTACTTTCGTGCCAAATCGATATCATCAGGAAAAATGTAATCCAATACAAAACTTACAAGATTACAAACATAGAGCAAAAGCTAGTCGTTATCGGAGTACGAGAGGTACTCTAAGGAGAAGATCATGGAATATGCAAATAACTCACATTACCCTTGATGCATTCTTGAGATCAAATTATTGCTTTAATGATTTCAATGACTGGTCCAGTTCTTCGTTTTTTCAAGAGTAAAAATACATTTTCGAATTTTACTACAGTCAAAGTGGCCGATGGAATTTGAATGTGAATATGGGTGTGTATATCCGAGTGAGTGCGGGTGCGAATCTGTTGAATAGAAGGTCCATACTCACCTCCACCCCGACTATTGCTGTCGCAATAAGATACTTTTAAGCAGATTCTTTTTTATTTTGAGGAATATTATAAAAGTAAATCAGACTTTCTATTAATTCTTTTTCTGTAGTTTATTGAATCTTACTTTTTTAGATAACTTGGTAAATTTTGTAGTCACCAAAAAGACAATGATGTGATTTAACAATAGTTCGTATTGTTGTCGAGTGGATGGCATCGAAGTGAGAAATTCATAGAGAATGTCAAAATATCACTTTTTTCCCCGATGCAATAAACAAAAAACTTAATAAAACTCATTCTCATGTTCAACATTCATTGAACCCATCATCAAGTTGAATATCTCAATAACCTCAAAGATGATCCATTGCTTTATCCTTTTGAATTTCTTTTTTTTTGCCAACATTAATTAAGACTTTAACTAGATTGTTTTATTTGATATTTATCAATGGATGGCCATGAATAATGATCAATATGATAATCAACAAAACCATTACAATCATAAGCATATTTTAAAGGTTGTTGTATATGAAAATGTCATATAATATCAATCTAAATATATTCGAATGGATTTTGCTGTTATATATAAAAGTCTTGAATAAGATTTTTTCGATCGTTTCATTGCTGATGATTTGAAAAACAATTGGTTACAATAGATTAAAATCCCAAAACTCCATATATTTTTTCAAAAAGATATGAATCATAAAATGTTTGCATATATTAATCTAATTTGCATCAAGAATCATTTTAGCTTGTGTAAATGAAGATGGATTTCCATAATCATGAAGCGAATTAAATGAAAATTGAAAATATGTTTCATTTCAATAAGAATAAATTTGATTTAAACATTGAAATCTATCCTTATAAGGATGAAGATATTTTATTATTTTTATATAATAGTAATAAGCAATATTTTTCATAAAAATGTTTTTCACATGAATATAACATATTCAAAAGAAAGGTTCTTTCTTAAAACTTTGTTTCATATGATTTAATAATAATGAATGATCAGTAATTTGATGAAATAATCGAAGTCAATCATTTTGATATAAAAGAGGTTTTAAAAGATGTATCTGTCAAACTATATCACAGTCTATTTTTTGAAGAAGTATTTTTTTAGGATATAAAACTTTTAATTACATAAATCGATAATATCGTCGAATCATTTGTTATAATATTACTGATGTATGTCATTTATTTTTCTGAAATTTTGAAGTTTTTTTCCTAATAATAATATTAATACAGAAGTAGTTTTGTCAATATTAACTGATAATTGTGTGTGGGTATGAGCATTAGTTTTCTTTCAACAGACACTCACTCATTCACACCCACGCGTACCGATTTTCTCTCATAGAACCATAAATGATTCATTTATTAACCGAGTGTTTTCGTCATAATCATAAATCAGCATGTACTTTTTCCTTCCTGCTTTTCCTACATGACGTTATACTTTCTTCAAAACATAAGGGCATGAGTGGATCCACACCCACAGAATAGAATATATAACAATGTCAAATTGTTATCTAGTTTTCCTCATACTATCATGAATTCATTAGATGTTCGTTGCCAGATGCTCAGCTTTCTGAAGACACACTTACAATCATCATAAAAATGAAAGCTGAATCACAATCATAAAATTTTCTCTTTTTCAATCATATCTACAATTATTTTCTGTTATCTAATCTCTCAATATTCAACTATGTAGCCTTTATTCAAAATCCTTGGGTGCTTTGTCAGGAGGACCTTCTCAATACCTTATTCATGTTTTAATAATAGGGAAGTAAGTGTTTCTAAAAAAATGACCTTTGAAATTCACGCCTGAGAGAAAACAAGTGGTTTTTAAAAGATATAATTCATATTTGTGAATCTTTACGTTGTCGTGTATCGAATGTTGCCGGGAAAATGTATGTGAAGTTGTAATCGTTAAAAGACAATTTTAGTTTATAATAGGCGTGGGTAGGGTTTTTCATTTTACTCTCATCCACACCCACACCCTCAAATCACCATAGACCAGAATAAACTGCTGTTAGCCGCTTAAAACTCGTTGAAGCTGGCATTGAACAGAAAAAACCGGTATTAGCCGATATAAACCAGTATACTATTAACTGATATAAACGAATGAATGGAGAAATGCCGAAAAGAAAAATTATCGAAAAGAAAAATGTCGAAAAAAATATCGAAAATGATGACGGTAAAAAGTGGTCGGACTCCAATATTTTAAACATTCTTCATCTTGTTAGCCCATGTTTATGCTGATGTACACCTCTCTGAGTACAATGTCTATATCATGTACAGTAGAATGAATCACATCTTATTGTTACTAACTTTCTTCCCATTGATGCTTTTACATTACTGCTTCTTTGATTTGTTTCTGAATTAAAGCTCATTAATAACAAACGAAATGAATTATATGAAATTATTTTATGAAAGAACGATTTCACTATATTTTATTTTATATTTTTTTAATGTTTACTACGGTAAAATATTAGAATAGTCAGTTTCATTTTATGCATATCTGTAAACAATATGATTTACTCTTCAAACATGATATCTTTTATTCTACCACGAAAAAAATAGCTAACGCGATTGTCATTGACAAGTACATATTTAAGTTGAATACAACGATCACTAAAACAAAACACTATTGATGTAAGCATCGTGAATGTAATGCCACGGTACATATGAATAGAGCTGACGTTGTTTTAAAAACTAAAGGTGATCACTATCACGTAATTGAACCAGAAGAGGGATTTGAATATTTTTGTTTGTTGCTTCGACATTTTGTTAATTTATTTCTAATGTCAATTTCACTAAGAATGATTCTGTTCTCGTATTTCTTTATTCAATAAAGTTCTTTTTATTGGTCAAGATGTTCATGTGAATGATATTTTATTTTTTTTAAATATTTTTCTTTCAAGAATTCACTTTTCAAGATTATTTCTATTGGATATGTTTTTTTTGACATTTTTCGTTCTGTTCCTCTTCGCTTTTTTTCTTTTCTGTATTTTTCCTGTCTACGTTTTTCCTTTCTGTTTTTGTCCACCATATCATATAACACCATTTACTAACGTAAAGATATCATTTTTTTAGCGTTCATCTGTCGAATATACATCGAAGAAGACATCTGTTTTAATCTGTTTGGGTAAGCATCATCAAATTGGTTTATTATTGCTGCTTATCTAGTTTAAGTTCTCTCAATTTCGAATAGAAAATAAAATTGTAAATTCGCTCATAGTTACTTTACTTTTTTTGTACGTGATAATCATCTACTGTTTCGTCTGAATATTATTTTCACTCATCTTCTCTAATGGGCAAGTTCTTTTTTGTACCTGCTTCTTCATTCTTTTATT